AGATTGGTAGGGAAACTTATTTACCTTACCATTACTCGTCCTGATATCATGCATGCCGTGAGCCTAGTCAGTCAGTTCATGCATGCTCCTCGATCAATTCACTTACAAGCTGTTCGAAGGATCTTGCGCTACTTGAAAGGCACTGTTGGAACTGGGATTGTGATGAGGAAGATCGGAAATGCTCACATTGTTGGCTACACAGATGCAGACTGGGGTGGCTCCAAAATTGATCGAAGATCTACTACTGGATATTGTACATTTGTTGGTGGAAATCTGGTGACATGGAAAAGCAAAAAACAAAGTGTGGTGGCTCGATCAAGTGCAGAAGCTGAATATCGTGCCATGGCATCTACTACCTGTGAGTTAATTTGGCTGCAAGGTTTGCTCAACGACTTAGGGTTCAAGAGAACACTGCCTATGCCTCTTTTCTGTGATAACCAAGCTGCTATTTACATTGCATCTAATCCTGTATTTCATGAAAGAACCAAACACATTGAAATGGACTGTCATTTTGTTCGAGAAAAAAACCCAATCTGATGTCATTCAACCTGTTTTTGTTCGGAGCACAGATCAACTAGCAGACATCTTCACCAAAGGATTGTCTCGGGTTCAATTCAACACTCTTTTGGTCCAACTTGGCTTGATGAATATACTAGCCTTCGTTTGAGGGGGAGTGTTAGATTATTTAATATCCAAAGTATGGGTTATAGGTATGGGTAGAATATCTAATATCCAAAGTATGGGTTATAGGTATGGGTTAATGTGTAAAGTATGGGTGTTAGAATATTAATGTGTAAAGTATGGGTGTTAGAATATTAGTGTGTGAAGCATGGTGTGTGATGTTCATCGGGTGACTCACGACATCCTTCTCCACTTGTATAAGTTCTCTTTCTTGTAACCTTACACATTTTCAATACAAACAATTCTTTCAAAACTATCACAAATACATATATATTCGTCCAATTCCAGGATAGGTCTAGGCCTAGCCTGACCTCTATGTGGCTCTGCCACTGTGTAGAGATATTTCTTGCGCAGTTGCACTCAAGAGTAGGGTTTGTTGCCCTTTTATCGTAATTTCGTTTCTGCTTAATATCTTATGTATGTTATGTATGATTCTATGTATCATCGTACCACTACTTTTTGCTGCCAATTCTAGGCGTATCTTGGAACCATAAGTGTAACAAATAGTTTGCTTTGTTCTTCTTATTATAAGATATCAATATCATTAAGTATAAATATAAAATCTAAAACTTCAGACAACACACTTTGCCACCATACGAATGAGATATATGGTGTGTTAACTTATTTGAATCATGCTTAACCAATTTGCCTATTGAACTTAGACTGGGATTTCCAATCAACTCAGTTAGGTTTTGCCCGATTGATTCATTGATTATGTTGGCTTTAGCCTCATTCTCCTCGATGATCAACTCAGTCTATAGGAAAACCTTTAATAATTGGATCAGTTGACTATCTACAATTGTGTGCACATTCTATCTTATGACTTTATATTTCATACGAGAGTAGTTGTTTCGAATGTTAAGTCCCCGTCACATATATTGGGACTTAGTAAGTAATTTGCTATCACTTGGCATGTTCGCCCACACTTGCGGTACTTGTAGGAAGGTCTATAACCTCTTCATGCCCTTAAAATATTATTATTATAGTAGAGATTGTTCACTATCTCTTTTATAATGCAAATGACTCTTTTCAATTTAGACATTGTGCCTTGCCCAAATCGACAAACTATCACATTATATGCCCAGGACTATATCCTCTAATATCTTTTGAAGCCAATATGCTTCCTCTATAGCCTTATTGTAGGCATGAATAAATTCCACTATTAATTACTTATGTCACTGCGTATTAATCCACCTATATACCTGACACTAATTACCGAAATTCAATTCATTAGCATTAGTACATGTGGATCTTAATTGACTAATTTAATACTAGAATAGAATATAGTGGTAGAGTTAATATGGGATCATTGGTCTCCAACTTCTTCAAAAAATTATGTAGATTTATATATGAATTGTATTTGACCATAGTAGAAACAATTAAAGCAAACTAAATTACAATCTCCTCCTTCTACTTTTTTTTTTTTTTTATCATCCATGCCTTGTTCTCTCTCTTCTTGTGTGCGACTCTATTGTGCCCATAAAATGATGAAATGCTTCAATTGACAAGTCTTGGCCGTATTCAACATTACTTTACAGTTTCCTATAGCCACTCTTGACAAGCCTCTACATATCATACTAGTTGTTGGCATATGTTGGCATAAGCCTTCAATAGATGTTGGCAATAATAGACATGTTCCTACCAGGTGCTCAACGAAATGGTCCAATCAATTTTTTTGGTCGAAATCATGACCCTATTATTTGAAAATCCAAAATCCTCCACTGCTAGAATAACAAAACAACGACCATGGCCATTCATATGCTTACTTAATAAGCGTCATCATATCTAATAATACAGTTTTGCTAATTAAATACCACAAAACTTTTCAGTGTCCTCATTTCATTCAACGTAGGTTTCTTGACCCCCGCAATTCCTTACTGATACACGAACTAGATTCAGATTTGAATCATGGTGGATGTTGTTTTTAAATGAGTTTGGCTATGATAGCATGTTAAAACGAGAACATTTCCTTATGAACCAGTTCTTTTATACGATCCATAGTATGATATTTATACAATATGTTTAGGTCGGAGGTAAACATAATAAAGGCAACCTTTTTGCTGTTGTTGGGATTTCGTTCGATCGCCATTGACATACATTCCGTTGCCTCAAGTATGCAAGAACATAATAAAGTTAGAAAAGTGGCTAATAAGTCTTTATCCGCCTCATTATGTACAACTTATATTATACAACGACACAATGTTTTTTAGCAAATCAAGAAAAATAAAATAAAATGAAAAATAAAAGATGAACTATGTGGGTTCACAGTGCATTCATAGAGATTAGGGATATGCTTAAATTGATGCATTCATCTTTTTCATAAGATCTCAAACAGCTAACACTATTATTTTATGCTACTGCTAGAACAAGACGGTAGGAGTTGTAGTGCTCCTTTGTAGCACAAAAAAGTTTAATAATTTTCTGATGCTTATGTCTCAGGTGGACCTGCATTATGTGTTCTACCAGGAGCAGATGGCGGAATTGGAGTACCCTTTGGCAACATACCAAAATACAATCCTCTTGATGATATTTTGCGAAGAGGTGATGAAGTCACTCCGGTTCCATGTTCTTCACCTGCTGCACCAGACGGTTGAATTGAAGGGCCTTTTGGTAATTTACCAAAGCTCGATGGAAATGGACCAGGTGGTGGACTATATTGTCCCTTGCTAGGACCAGATGGTGGGATTGCAGAGCCCTTTGCTAGGATGCGATCCGGTGTAACCCATATTCCAAGCAACTGGTTGTACTTCTCTTCGTTGCCATCAGAGGAGGAAGAGGCAAAGCTTAGGGCTAGCACAAGGAGTAAGGGCTGGTTTGGTATTGCTGTGCTTTGAAAAAAAGCTGCTGTGAGAATAAGCGGCTGTGCTGTGAGAATAAGCGGCTGTGAAATAAAGCAGCAGAGCGTTTGGTAAACTTTTTTGTAAAAGTGCTTTTGGAAAAAAAAAGCAGTCTGATAGTGGGTCTTTTCATTAAAGGAGCACTGTAGCTCCATGTGCTTTAAAAAAAAGCCAGTTTTCCAAAGCTGCAAATAGCAGCTTCAGCTTTTTCCTTTGATTTCAGCTTATTCTCACAGCAGCTTCCAAAATAAGCCCTTTTTTTCAGTTTACCAAACACCTAAAACCCTCACAGCTTTTTTTCATAGGTGCTTTTTTTTTAAGCACCTCACTCCCAAACTAGGTCTAAGGCCAGCCATGAAAAGCTTTGGTAGGATAGTGACAGTACCATGATATGCTTATCTTTCTCTCTCTTTGCTTTTGTTGTTTCTGAATGAAAATTATGCTCTGCTGTTGTGCTCATATAAGAAATTAGGTTTAACTTTGATAGGAAATTTGTATAAAAAATTCTTCATTTTCCTTAAATGGTTATTTACTGTTTATTAGCAGTCTGATCCATGTTAGATTTGTGGTATATCAAGTTTTATTATATTTGTATTTGGTCTATGTAGCCAATAAATTTTTTCCTTCTGTGGTTTTACCAGCTATGGAAAATCACCAACCATATACCACGTACGGAAGGATAGGAGGAAATATTATAACCAACGAGCCTTTAAATTAATAGTACCAGATTCAATTCACTTGAATTAGCGATGTATAAGAAGAAAAATAATATAACAAACTAGCCTTTAGTTTATCGGTACAAGGTAATTATGTAGTCAATAAGCATTCTTTTCTACCTCATTAGTCATAACTACCAACAATTTTTGGTCTAACAAAGACCATCCCATTTATTCATCTTCTCATGAAACTACAATTTCAAGTCTTCATTTACATATTCTATTTAAACTTATTGACCAAAAAAACAAAAGAAAAAACTTCGGTTGAAATTTTTTGGCCTTCTACACTACCTCTGCTACTAGCTCTTCTATCAACTTCCTCTCTACTTCCCTACCTATTACGTCTATTTCGTCTCCAAAATCCAGCCACAGCAAGTCACGTTGCAGCTCTTTCTCCAGACTGTCCTCGTTCGCGTTCTCTTCTTGGCTTGCTAGCAATGTGCACAGAACATCTTCGGCTGCACTTGGATTAATCCACTTGGGACCAATTCTTTTGCTCGCAGGCCTTACCCATGGGTATGGATCAGTGAATTGCTCAAACATCTCCACGAGCCCTGAATTGATTCGATCGAACAGTAATTTCCTCTCGGGCTTTGGCCAAGAAGTCTGACCGTAGTACTTCTTCTCCAGTTCTTCGAATAGTAAAGGATTCACAGGACATTCTGGGGTGTGCCACATTGCCAAGAAGGTAGCCGGATCAGCATTGTTTAAACCAGATTCAGTTAAGGTATCGGCCAAGTATACAGACTCCCAGCTCTTTTCATCTTTACAAAAATCCTCTTGCATCTGACAACCCAGTAGATCCATCACCAACTTCATCATCACTCGACACTTCCATGTGTCCCTCTTCATATGGTTCTGACTCCAACTTCAGTAGCTTAAGCTGCATCCGAAGCCCTACAAACCAAATAAAAGATGAACATTAAAGCAAACAAAAGGAAGAGGTCAATTAAATATACGAATGCACAACACAGTGGGAAGACAAGTGCATCATATTTGTAAGAAAACTCAAAGCGGATTCAGTTCAAACAACAATTAACTCCCATCAGTGACTAGAAGATAATGACTAAAGCATATCCTTTACCCAACACCTAATTGCGTGCTTCCTTATGTGTATTCATTAAAAAATAAAATCAACTGACTTTTCACACACAATATGTCGCTATGTTTATACGAACATTTTACGTGGTTAGTAAGTATCATCTTACTGTCGGGGCTTCATTACAACAATCTATATGCACATTAACACCAACATATTCCATGGATACTGGAAGAAGGCATGCAACATTAGCACATTAGCACCCACATATTCATAGGAACTGACACTAGAAACAAAAGAAATATAATCAATATAAATAGCCTTCCAATTACCTTGCAGGTCAGCACTGACACTCTCAAAGCATTCAGAACTAGATGACACATCATCAGTAAAAGGAACTTCCAGAACTGAAACCGGACTGGGCTGCTCAGCTTCCTTGGAGCTTGCAGGAGATTCGATTCCAGGTACAGACTGGTTAGAGGGGACTGCCTGTTCATGGGGTGGCCTGATTGAGGGTTCCTGGAAATTTAATGAAAATATTTGAGACAAATTTTTTTTAAATACAAAGCCCTGCTTCCAACTGAGCAGGGAAGGAACTTCAAACACATCTAGAAGCGACATACGTTAACGGTATGATGAATTGATGCATCTACTTGTTTGTATAAATGGTTGTGATAAAATAATGAACATCCCACAATGAGCAATTTGCAACATACACATGTTGTTGGGAACAGCAAAGATGAAATCAGTTCAGGAAATATCAACAGAAACAGGTCTCCAACAATTCTATATCATTGCAGCAGTGATATTATCATACTACACACGCGCGCGCGCACACACACACACAAAAAGAAAAAAGAAAAAACTTGAACACAAACCTGTGGAATTGCATTATCTTGGTGTCCACCAGATGAATAGCCTTCTACCGACATATGAGATGATAATTCTGGAAGGAACACGTCAGGAGTTTCAGAAGGCTTGGATGCATCCACATCCACCAAATTTGCCGAAACTGGACTTGCATCCATAGCATTACTAGGTGGTGACTCAAAGACTGCAACATTCTTCTGGGTTTGATTGTTCTCTTCCAAGTCAGTTCTATCTTTATTCTCAGTAGTATGAGTTTCAGGTGAAATGTCAAGAGCTTCCCTACTTGAGGGAGACGAATAAGATGTTTTGTTTCTGGATCTAGACTGTTTGTGAACACCTTCTCTAAGATCAAGATTACCAGTTACTATACGGTGTCTTTCGTGCGGGACTGTATCCTTTGGCATCGGATACTTGTCATTATGTACAGTTTCACACCGCATACTTGTTTTAAAACTTCCAAACACACTAGATGAAGAAGGAAGAGATTTTGATCTTGATAAACTATTGATGCATCCATCCTTCCAACCATCCCTACTGCTGATACCCAGAGGTCCACCCCCTTCAGTAGAAAATGTATCTCTGAATCCTGCCTCACCAATCATGGCATTCAAATTAGCAGCTCGCGTTTCCTTGTCTGGGACAGCAAGCATTTCACCAAGTGTGCTGCCCCTGCTCACAGGTCCCATTTCTTGGGACTTGTGTGTCAGTTTCCACCTCTCTGAGAGCCTCTTCTTGGCCTCTCTACTCACAGATGATTCAGTAGAGCACGACGATGAAGGCCTGGAGTGGTTACTTATGTGAAAGGAATGCCTGGAAGCCACCGACATCCTCTCTGACTCGTTTGCAGATTCATTCTCAGACATGCTACAAGAACTCTCATCACCAGCATATCCTTTCAAACCAGAGGAGGAAAGACGCACAGAATTACTGCTAAAGTTATTTCTCTCATTTTCCTTGTGATTTCCTTAGCAATTTCTCTAGATTCTCTAGACTTGTGTCTCAGATGCCCATCATTATCTTGGACGTTTTTCCTTCCACATGATTCTGCCTCCCTGTTTCTAATGCTCAGAAATTCAGCGTGTTTGCCACCATCTAACATAGAAGCACGAGGAGAACAAGGTGATGTTTTGGGAGCATTCAGCACCTTCCCAAGGTTTGGTTTCAGAACAACTATCCTTGTAGGATGAATTGTAGGATGAATGGCAGATTCAATTTTCACTTCTGGTCGGTTTAGTGATGATTCAAGAGGATGTCTACTGTCAGAGTGGCTAGAAAAAGAATCCCGATGCTTCTGAGGAGATTTACAGCGATGCTTCTGCTCTCTTGCTGATGTGAAGCCAAGGTCAATGTTTTCATACTTTTGAGCTTCTGATGGCTTCAAAGATGCTATGCGACCACAAAGGGATTGAGGACCACCTTGCAGATCATGCATATGTTTTGTGAACAATGAGTCTGGTTGCTGAAGGAATTTCAATAGAATATCCTTGTTAGATTCCAGCACCTCAAGCACATCATGGAACTCCTTTGAATCCTGTAGCCTCTCATCTGTTGAAAGGCGTTTTGCATCCATGAATTTCTGTCGAACAAAAGCCATTTCAGCATCACTGAGCTTTGGGTTAGCACTTCCTCGAGATGAGTAAATCCTTGCAGGTTCATAAACTTCAAACACATCCTTAAACTCCTGCTGCACCCTTGAGTTCTTCCTAGATGAATGGCGGTCATGAGACATACTGCTTCTGTGCTCTTTCTCTACCGATCTTTTCTTCTGAAGATAATTCTCTGAAATGCCCTTTGATTGTCTATCAGCAGGCTGCTGAGGTGGCAGCCCATCAAGACCCATCAATTTGGCAATTAAGCTTGGTGATCTCCTTCTAGGTTCGGTTTCTCTCACCATCTCCTCAGCCAATAACTTCTTTATTGGAGTTCCAACAGCTTGCTGTGAAGATCTCCTGCCCAATTCAGAGGGGAACTGCAAGAACATACTTAACACACTTCATCATGCATGTCACATTGTGATTGTTTTTCAATACCAATATAAATCCAAACAAGGCGAAAATTCAGAAAAAAAAAACAAAAACAAAGAAAGCGGAATCTTTTGGCTCATTACTCTGCTCAAGTTACAAAATGAACAGAAAAGCAAAATAAAATTAGTAAATTAGAAAAAACACCCCGAGAACTCTAGTTTTTATAGAAAAACACTTCATGAGCTCCATTGGAGAAAGAGAAAGGAAAAAAAAAAAACCATCCAAACCAACTCTAGGGTTTATTTTCTTAACTACTGGGTTCGAAGTGTTCTTTCTCTGAAGTGTAACGCTATCAAGGGCTTCCATGTACAAACCCCAAATAAAATCATGCAGCTCAATACACACAACTAGTAGTAATAGGAAATGAGATTACCCAGTCTTCGCCGGTAGAGCCACTACTGCAAGAACTCGAATCTGAGGCCAATTTCCGAAAGTCTCTCTGTTTCAGAACCTGCCTGTTTCCTGAAAACAAAACCCACAAACATGAGGATCACCATTTCAAACCATAGACAAACTGAGAAGAATCCACTGCACAAAATTTACAAGTAATTAGACATCATCAAATGAATTAGAATCCAACCCAGTAAAACTACATGAAATTTCAATTGTGCCCTTTTCACAAATCAAAAGGAAAGGAAACATCGCAATCAATGTCTTGAAAATAGCATGCAGAAAACAGAGGATGTTTCAATTGTTCCCTTTGACTCTTAAAAAGAAGCCATTGAATTATATCTCATCATTCCGGTGGAAACAAAGCAAATCATGGCAAATACCACAACAGAAAAAGTCACGAACTTTAGCAAAATTACAGAGACATACCAAAATTAACCTGCATTGCATACGTATTAGAGCAAAATTAAAAATAAAAATAAAAACAATTAATCAATTAATTAAAGCTGCTAATTAGATATAAATAGTTGTGTTTACTGGATAATTTGATAGAAGAAAATTTGAGAAAAATAAAAACTAGTTACTAGGTTCAGAAATTTGTAATTTTCTTCAAGTGAGCCGTATAGTTGCTTAATCTTTCCGTTTCGAAAAAACCATGGGCATAAACTAACAACTTTCAGCAAAAAAAAACAAAAAATACTGAGATTTTCTCTTCCACCTTTCCTTTTCTTTCCCTCCACTTTCTCGGCAACCAAACAGGGTCAGAAGTTCAGACAACTCACAAGTCAAAAGCCCACAAAAACAAAACAAAAAAATGAATTTCAGAGAAAACCAGACCTCTTCTGTGAGCTCGCTCAGCGGAGGCGAATCGTCCTCCGACGGCGCTCCTCTCAGCAATGCTCGTCACCTTAGACCTCCGAGGCCGAAAGCTCTCCATTTTCACACATTAAAAACCCAAAAATTGAAAATTTAACAAAGTGCGGCAGATACGGAGATCGGAATCTCCGCAGCGACGCACGCGACGCACGCGACGCGAAGCGAAGATTCTCAAAAAATCACAGAAGAAAAAAAAACCCTAAATTTCAGCTCCCCTCACTCTGAAGAGAGAATCAGAAAAAACCAGATCTTGAACCGAAAGAGAAAGTGAGAGAAGCCAGCAGAAAATGGAGAGAGAGAGAGAGAGAGAGAGTGTGATAAAGAGGCGTCCGTTAGTGAGAACTGCTAGAGAGAGAGAGAGTGGAGCGAGACTGGGGGTGCGGTGTTGGGTGTGAAGAGAGAGAAAGTGAGGAGAGAGAGAGAGAGAGGAGAGAGATAGGAGAGAGAGTTAGTATTGGGGTTTTGTTTTGTTTTGGGATTTTTTGAACTTTCAAATACCGATATACTGACGGGGGAGGCTGAGGCTCTGCGCGGGCAAGTACTTTGTGTGCGTGTTGTAGATGGACTACGGTAAGGATGGTGGGAGTTGAAACAGGGTATGACTCTGCCAGTTTTCCAGGTGTCCTTCTTTGGATGTTGCCACGTCACTATCTTGTTTGGTCTTCACCCTTTGTTTGCTTGGTCTTTTCATAACAATTTCATGGCTTTTATGGTGTTTCATTCCCATTTTGGAGTTGTTTGGATTGGCAAAATTTACATTTGGTTAGGGTGATTAATGTAACAATTCATGTAAATCGACATTATGGACGTTTGAGCTATTTCGATCATGTTTGTTGTTTGCGTGATAACTTATTCATATGTAGCTCTATCAATCGGCGTCTAACATAGTCAAAATTTCCTACTATTTTCTAACATGGATTCACCGTCCCCGGAAAATGTCAAAATTGAGTTTGCTCAATTACAAAGATCTGTGTACTTACCTAAACGATCAATTTGCCGACATAAAAAAAGGCCATTTTTTCCCAACATCTCCTCTCCCGACTTGCCTAAAAGATCAATTTGTTAGCATCGAAAATGACTAAAATTTGGTGTATTAACAATGCATCTTTGTACTTGACTAAATGATCAATTTGTAAGTGTCGAAAATGGAAAAAACTTGATGTACTTCTCCAACAACAGCACATCTCTCTACGTACCTATAAGATCAATTTGTCGCCATCGAAAGGGGCTAAAATTTGATTCACTTCTATGAAACAACGTATCTTTGTACTTGCCTAAATGATCAATTTTGTTAGGCTCGAAAATGGCAAAAACTTGACGTATTTCTCTAGCAATAGCATATCTCTTTACTTACCTAAAAGATCAATTTGTCGGCACCGAAAATGGCTAAATTTTGATTCACTTCTTTGACAACAGTGTATCTTTTTATTTGCCTATATGATCAATTTGTCAGCATCGAAAATGGCTAAAATTTGATTCACTTCTCAGAAACAACGTATCTATGTACTTGCCTAAATGATTAATTTTGTCAGTGTCGAATGGTCAATTTGTCTACTTACCTAAAAGATCAATTTGTCGGCATCGAAAATGGCTAAATTTGATTCATTTCTCTTACAACAACGTATCTTTGTACTTGCCTAAATGATTACTTTTATCAGTGCCGAAAATGGCAAAAACCTAATCTACTTCTCTACCAACAGCGTGTCTCTCTACTGACCTAAAATATTAATTTATCGGCGTAAAAAATGGCTAAAATTTTTAGTGTGTTACTTGAGTACTAAATTGTAAAAACCTAATTGGAAGTTGTATGTGTTTTGTAGTACTAAATTGTAAAAACCTAATTGGAAGTTGTATGTGTTTTGTAGTCTATCTAGGAGAGTTTCTAGTTTGCTTTTAGTTTGGATCAGTCACTGTGTTGTTTTGCGGTTGTTTTGTATTAGCGGCTCAAGTGGTGGTTGAATTGGGGGTTTTTATTTGCTGGTTTGGATGTGATTCTCTTTAGATCATTTCACCTTTGTTTTTTGATTCGTTATCAATTTGATGTTGAAATTGGTCCCTGGAAATGTTTTGTTCATATTTAGTATCATGTTTGATTTTCGTATGAAAGTTTTTCGCAATTGAAATTAATTGGGTATGTTCATGTTGTATTACTTAAGCATTGTAAAGTGAATAACAATATTAATAGACTGTTGTACTAGTTGCAAGCATTTTACTTCTTATTCAACAATATTATTTACACTAAAGATGTGAGAGTTTAGACTTACCATAATTTTATGGTAATCAAACTCGTCATTCATATGGTAATCAAACTTGTCATTTATGTAAATTGAACTTAAGACGTCTCATTTACTAATAGAGAGAAATACCATAATTGGTTGAGTATAAGGTTAAATTATTATTAGATGATTTTATGAGTCCAAAAAATGCTTGATAAGGTTAAATTATCCACAATTCGTTGAGAATAAGGTTAAATTATTAGATGCGGTCGGGGACAAATACCATGTTAGTGTGGAACTACTTGGTATGTAATTACGTATCACCCCCTCCAAGATTCCACCAAATCTAAATTTATATCCTTTATTTTTACAAATAAATTTTTCAAATAAATTGTCACTCATTGGAATCAATTTATGCAGAGAGGGGAAATATGATATTGCTGTGTGCTGGCACAGTTACTCATCTTTTTTTTTTTTCTTGTATATTTTATTTCCAGTTTTTTGGATGAATGTGGCTATATCATCTTTATGATATGTAAAATGACACAAACCAAACAAAGAGGGAATCTTGAATTCTCAAAGAATTGAGCTAATTACGTGGATGAAAGTTAAACTCTTGTAGTTGTGGGTTTTGTTTTGTTTGTGGAGTTAAGGCAATTTCCAACCCTTTTGTTTTGTTGTGGTGGGGAGGAAACAAATGTCATTGAATCATGGGTCTTGTGTTCTAACAAATTATATGAGCATGGAAAATGGGAAACTTCATCCAATATTTTAATTGGATCCATATTTTACTACATATGGTTCAATATTTTTTGAGATAAAAATGTTTCATTAATTAACTAGAAGCATTATGGATGAGGAATATATTTTTATGTTTATAAGCGCAACAGAAAGACAAAACAAATCTTACCCTTTATAACCATGTCAAATAAAATGGAAAGATACGCTCATGAGGACAAAATCTTGCATCACTTTTTTATGCACTTGCAAAAGACAATGCTTCTTCAACAAAGAAGCCCTGCTATGAGACATCACGAAGATATCCTCATAGTCCTTTGCCAGGCAAACAGACAACTAAACCACAACCAAAACAAAACAAAAGAAAAAAAAGTGACACAACACAAAATAAAATCTTCAGAGCTACAATTCCTCAACCACGAGAGACCCACACCTAACCAACAGGGAAGATAAGCTCACAAGGCCTAAACCCTAAGAGTCGGACCTAACACCGTTAAGACACACAAAGTAATCACAATACTATCACCTAAAGGCTTTGCAACAACAAGAAAACATGATTGTGAATCCCCTATAACACTATAACGACCCCACGATGGGAAAATTGCACCACCCGTTGATGATCTTGCAATTGTCGGCAAAACTTTTCTATGAGTCACCTTCAACAAACGTTGAGCTTCCTCCTCATAATCCTTGCCAAGCGTACAAACCACAATCACCACCTCATATTCAAACAACAGTTATTGCTCTAACTCTAATGTCCGGAGTTAGCAATAAGTCATAATAGCTACAAAAGCTCTCCTCCTCATAAAGAGAACCACAACCACAAAAGGCTCCCCTCAACAAAGTAAAAAAGTGAAAACAAGAAAAGAAAAAAAAAACGGATCAAGAAGGATTGCCACTAACCCCAAGTCCAAATGTTGGGTTGGGAGGTAAGTTTTTTCTTTGGTTTTTTTCTCTCTCGAGGCTAGGGTTTTTTTTTTTTTTTTTTTTTTTTTTTGTTCCTTTCCTACATATGGTTCAATATTGAATGGATACACTAGTCGCAAATATCATTTCCAATATTCATTAAAAGAAATCTCGTTTGCAGTTAAGAATGTTGCTTCTATTCGATTAATACAAGACTCATTGATCCATATCAGTCAACCTAAGCACTTGTCGGATGTACTAAAAAGGAACGTTCTAACTTTCTTCCTAATTTACTAGGATATCGTGTCTTAAATGAAAACAAATATTGAATGTGGCAAGCATGCTACAATGTGGTGTTATTAAATCAAATATTATAAATTTAGTGAACGGCGAGTATACATTTTAAGAGTTAGCATTAGGTAATTTAAAAATCGATTCCGTCCAATGTATTAAAAGAGAAAAAAACAAAAGTTCATGAAGTTACAAAGTAATACTTAGATTTTGGATTGTTAGCTAGCTACCCTTTCATGCGCACTCAAACCATTAAACTTTATGCTAGAAAATGTCAAGGATAATGAATCGTAAACAAAGAAAACTCAAGGCACCCATGATTGGGTTTAAGTTTATTTGATACATATATGATAGTGTGTTTTTGCATGCATATATGATTATCAAGTTAAATATATACCAAGGTGTGGGAAATAGAAGAAATAGCTAAGTTAATAATAAAAAATGGTGTCTTTTGTGTAGGAGCTAGGTGACCATAGACATGAAGATACGCAGGCAAAGCATTGGGTGTGTATACTCTTTAGTACAATTATATATAGGGAAATGTTATTTGACATTCTAAAAATCTTATTATACACTCTTCATAAATGTATTTTTCTTTTCAAATATAGAAAATTAGAAGTGTAGAATGAAAATTTTGGAATGCTAATAACAATTTCCTATATATATATATATATATATATATATATATATATATATTATATATGATTGATCTGACAATTCAACAAGCTTTGGTCCCCCAGAACTTGCATGAATTTTTTTGGTACCTTTATTTCTGTGTAATTATGGAATCCAAGCAAAAAGCATCATAACATGGAGATCATTGTGGTCTCCAAAACCCTACCCCATGGTTGACAAATAAAGCTAGTTATGCATTTACTTGTACATTTGCATGATCATGAAGACGTTCTCT